GCAACATAAATTCAAACAAATTGGATCAATGCATCTCTGCGATTGCACAGCTGTTTTTTAATTTGTTTGTATTGCTCTGCTGGTAAAGGAGCTCCTTTGGCATTGTCTGCTACATCTCTTTATATCTGGAGGGTTTCATTAGTTTGTCTTTTTTGAAGATATCATTTCCACCTGTTCTGTTTGGATTGTAACATAAATGAGATAGAGAAAAACTGGAAATGAGCTAGAGACAGCATCTTATATTTTCATTAAGGCTTTGGAATATATTAGTGTAAAAGAAATACCACCATTTTTATATCTATATCACTTAAAACTGACACTTAACATGGTAAAGATTATTTAACATTAACAAAAATTAAAGTTACCATAAAATCTGTCTTAAATTTAAATAAATGTATGCTGCTTTCATAGGATTTGAGAAGGAAAGAAACTACCGGGTGTCAACACCACAATGCCAGGGGGAAAGACTTCAGCAGTGACCACAGAGACGTAGTTTTCCGTGCTGTTGCTCCCTGTGCAGGGTTTTAGGCTATTTCAAACTGTTTGATATTGACAGGATTTAAGTGCCCACATTCCCATGGGAGGAGCTTAGATGGAAATGTAATCACAAATGGAGAGTGTGCTGTGTTGGATATATTTGTACAAAAAAAAACATAAGATCTTTATCTCTGATTTTATTCATGTCTCGAGTGTGTTCATTTTTAAAATTTATGTTTGTATAATAGGGAAAAAAATGACTATGTGTGGGTTATTTGAAAGATTTGCCAATAGTTCTACTGTAGCACATTCTGCAAAGTTAAATATAAAAGTACCATCAGACTTTCAACAAACAACATTGTTTGGAAAGAGTCTACCAAAGTAGAGGTGTTAGTCTATAGAGCAAAGTGTTTGGTGAAAACAAAGAAAGCACTTCAGGATATTATAAGCACAGATATCATAACGAACATGATGGTGGAGTGATAATGAGTGTTCATCTTACTCCTCTCCATACCAAACTATTCTACAGTCGAATGAGGCCATCTGTCTGATAGCTATTATAGCCTAGCCTAAATTAGGTCATAAGCAGGACAATGACTCCAAGAACAGGAGTTACAACAGAATGCCTGAAAATAAAACAATCATTTTGAAGCAATGGCTTAGTTGAATTCCAGAATTCAAGAGACTATAACAGTTAAAAACGAAAGGAGTCAGAAATGTTGATTTGTCAATCAGCAAATTTGTTTCTGATGGGCAATAAGAAAGGCATTTCTGGATAATCTTAAAGGTCAATATTATTTAGAGCGGGTGAAATGAAAAGATTGCTTTAAATTAGGTTTAAAGTAAGTTAAAAGTAGTCTTTACTGGGTATCTTGATCTGATCTCTACTGGCAAACCTAAGAATCACTTTGAATTAACATATTTTGTGGATATCTTACATTTGAAGTGGGATCTAATTAAGATTATTCCTAAACTGATACATTTTGATGGTAAGAAAATAGTTATGCTTGTTTTCATTGAGATTAAATATAAAATATTTTTAAGAACTGTTTACGAGTAAAAGAAAAAAAATTCTAGATACACAAATCCCAGATCTTAAAGAAGGTTTTTTTGTTTTTTTCCCTAAGTGTGTCTTTAGAAATCTAAATTCAGCTTGTGGGATTGTGCAATACAGCCTTACTCTTTAAGCAGAAAACCACACACATAAACAGACAAGCTAGGATGGATGGATGGATGGATGGATGGATGGATGGATGGATGGATGGATGGATGGATGGACGGACGGACGGACGGACGGACGGACGGACGGACGGACGGATGGCAGTGTACTAAGCCCTCCCTCTACACACTTTGGAGGAATTGGTTCCCTCATACCGATTCCTGGTAGTCAACATAACAGAGAAGATCAACTTAACCGGAAACCTCAAAGCATTGCTGACGAGTGACCAATAGAGATTCCCCTTTCCGAGGATTCTCAGGTACAACAAACTGAATCAAGCTGCAAGTGACCTTCTACTCTGCCTCCATTGAGACCTTTCTGGAACAACCGGGTGCAGGAAGGCCCCGAGAAGGATTCCAGACATGGCACAGAGAATATGTGCCTTCTTTCCTCCCTGAAGGAGATCATCAGCACCATATGTCGTCCTCAAAAACCACTACCCAGCACATCACCTGTATGGACCTATGCCCTCTGACAAACGCTACAGGCTCACACTATCAAACTGAAGAATCATTTTTACCCTTGGGCCATTAGATTCTTACTCTCCTAAATTTGCAAGAACATTAACAAACCTCCTTGGAGATCATGTGCACTATAAAAATGTATTTATTAATACACCACACACTCTCACCACAAATGCATGCCCACACACATAAACAATTGCACATGTACTGTGCACACAGAATAAAAAATAGATCATTTGTGGGATATTTTTGTTTCTTTTCTGTTTTCATAATTACTATCCATTGCCTATTTATTTTCTTTTTCTTAAATTTAGAGCAATAAGGGTGAAACTGTTTTTATTGTATCTGACATCTAAGGACAAAATATGCACTACCGAAATACTTTGAATAGAGAAAATTCCCTTCTTATTTTCAACTGCTTTATTAGTGCGTGTTTTTTATTTTTCATGAAATATAATATTTTATATTTAGAAACTGCTTCATGCTGTACTAAAACCAAAGTTTAGGTATGGTGGTTTTTTTTGTTGTTTTTTTTTTGTCCTAATGGGTTACAGGCTTTAGCCATAAATAACTACAGAGCGGTCTGACCGCATTGTGGAACATTTTTCCTCCTATTCACACTTTCATTACCCTCACAAATAAAGAGCATTCAACAGAATTAGCAGCACTGAATCCTGCCTGATCTTAATGACATTTTCCAAATTCTGCTTTTAACTGTGGATTACATTTGTTTGTGTGTGTGCGGTTTTTAAATAGGCTCATTAGCTAAAAGCGCTGATGGATAATACCTCAGTGAAATAATTACTAGCCCTTTCCTGGCCCCTTTTAACAGAGAGTAAAAGAGAGTGTGTATAGAGAAGGAATGAAGGAAGGGGGTGTGAAAAAGAAAGGTATATAAAAAGAATTGGGGAAAGGAAAGAAGGCAGTGGCAGAGAGAGGAAGAATGATGGCAAGGATGAAGCAGGGGAAAAATGTTGAGACTTTATTCATTATAAAGAGGAGCACAACAAGGGGAGATGGCATTAATCAGAGCTCTGTGCTAATGGGGCATTTACTCATTATAAAGAAATAGAGAGAGGCCGAGAAAGAAAAAGGCAAGAGAGAAAGGATGGGCTGAAATGCAAATTAATTGAAAGTGAACAGGGGTAAAAATAGGGAGGCTAGTGCAGAAAGGTGAAAGAGTCAAGTGTGTTTGTGGCGAAGCCTGAGCCAAATGTAAAGTGTGAAATGACATCCTCCGAAAATGATCAGGTTCCAGCACCCTGTTTAAATTCCCTCTCAAGGGATTAAAGATGAATTAAGTAATTTAAACAGAATGGCAGTATATGAGTGTGAGTATAAAAATTACAACTTCCCAGCGTTTATTGGAGAATGGCTGCAGGCTATAGTTTTATCACAAATGGCACAATTTCTGGGAACAAAAAAGCAATTTCATTTCAATGGAAAAACACAAAAAATATGGCTTTCATAATGGTTTTTAAATCATATCAGGACATTTTTTTTTCTTTCAACACAGAAGCCATTCATTCAGCTAGTAGCTGATTGAACAGGTTTAATGCCTGTTAGCATGGCTTTCTCTGGAAATCTCTATTTTTTGCAACTAACTGTTTATTATGTGTTTTAGTACGGCAGCTATAACTAGTTGCTTGGATATCTTTAACCCCTACAATTGAAAAGAGTAATTTGGAACCTGATCAAACACTCCAGCTGACTGTGCTGTTATAAAATAAAATTATAAAGAAAATCTTACAGAAAAAATTCTAATAAAACTTCCAGTGAGGAAAAAAACAACAACATTTTGGGCCGAGAGCTTTATGTAAAATAGTTTTGATTTTTTTTTTTTTTTTTTTTTTGTGGTTTTGAGCAGATGTATCTATGAATGTGATACATCTGCTCCAACTGTGGACTGATCATGTTTGATATTATTCACTCAATACTGTTCTCTGAAATGATCCCGTTTTTTATTTGTTTTCTAATTCACTGAGTGTCCCTAAAATTTAGCAAGCCTTCCATAAATACAATCGTTTCCATATTCTTTCTCCTTCTTTTAAATTTAGCAACATGTTAAAACACATTTTTCAACATGTATTTCACATCATGTTATATCATGTGGTTAATCCTGTTTGCCAAATTTCATATATTCTGCTATTGTTTTCATCTGTGATGTTTGTTTTGATGAAATCTGAACTCTTCTTTACATAATATTACTATTCATAACTCAAACTAACCTTTAACTAAATTTCTTTTAATGATTGTTTTAAATTAAATCTGAATAACTGCTATGACTAAGTTATGTCCTTAATTATCAGGAGCATTTGGTATGGGTGTAAATGGGGGTTCAGCATTGGTCAAAGTTACTATGCAGAAAATGTTTTGACCCTCCTACTGTAGTACTTCATCCCCCCTAGTTTGCAGTTTTCTGCATAAATCCTTCTGTGCTACCTCAAACCAAAGAAGTTGCCGTTTAGTTGCTGACCCTTACATGACACCACAGACAGACAGCCTCTTTTCTCTCTCTCCCACTCAAAGACCAGCGAGCAGCCTTTAATGATCTCCAAACCAGGCTCTACATCTGTGTTTTTCTTATTCTCTCTGACCTCCTGTCATTCTTCCATTTCCCTGCCTAATGTACACGACTGCATATAATTCAGATCTAAACTAAATCATCATTAGAATAATAAACTCCTCATCTATTTTAAGTAACCTCTACAATCCAGTTTGTTTAAACTTGCTCCGACTTTCAGCCTGTGCTCACCTCTATCTTAGGATGTAATTTAACTCACCTTCTCTCCGTCTGTCTCTGACCGTCTGCTTGCCTGTCTTTCTTTTTTACTCCCCAGGAGTCTGACCTTGTCCTGACATTCAACCTGTCAATGCATCGCTCCTGGTGGATGGAGAACGGACCTGGTTGCAGAGTGACACCCATCACCCCCCCTCCATCTTGGGCACCTGAGGACCACAGATATATATCTATATCTGGCTGTCTGATAGACTTTGAGTTCATAGAAGTGGCTCATTCCTCACTGCAGATACTCCTGGCTGTGAGTATTTCTCCTTAACACAGTTTCTCTTAAATCAGTGCAAATACATTTGGTTGGTAAAGGCCTTAAAACAAGCTAAATTGGTGAGATAATAGCAAGCTCTTCTGTAAGTACAATTTATGGTCAATCTTAAATATTATGCATCTATCTTACATAAGCATATCTTAGCTAATGGCTGGGAGCAGAGTTTACATCAATAAATAAAGGCAGCCGGGGAGAAATAGCAAACGCCTTAGTTTTTTGTTTTTGTTCATCTAATGCCCATCAGGGGAAGTAATGATTGATGTAAGGATTTTATGTAGAAATTCATAACATTTTTGTACTTCATCTCACTACTCTTACATACTTACATATTCTAAGGCATGTGATAAAAATTTATTTATCATTATAAATATGCATTTCCTGCTTTTTTAGCCAGATCCAGGACTGTCTTGAGATATAGCGTTTTAAAGGAGAAAGACACAAATGTATAAATGTTTTTTTTCTCATATTAACAGGCTAATTAATTACATGATTAAAAAATTTTAAATTACAACTGTTTTTGACCAAAATATTTACACTTTTTATTTGGCACTTTTAGGTTTTAAATGACAGATGTGTTGGCTCATTTCAATCTCTAGCTTTTTTGATCATCTATGATATTCTGTAGAAAAATGAACCCCGTTTGCTCCACCCCTTTAAGAACCACAGTGAAGATCATTCAATCATAGCTTGCTCTTTTCTATCTTTGCAAAAATCAGGTAGAATCGTAAAAAAAATGTCAGTTACTGCAAACTGTGTAATCCAGCAAACCTATTCAACCTACAGTATAAGGCAGAATTATCTGTAATGAGATTAGATATGCATCATTATGAGATGAATTACATATTACTTTACATATTAATTTTTAAATTAAATGTAGAACCTGACAAAACTGGAAAAAGCCCAAAATCAATAGACTATATTATTCATGTTTGGGATTCATAGGGATTGCATCACTGCTGTTTTTAACTGAATATTTCTGTAGGAAATAGCCTGAATTTTCTATTAGATGATTTTAGTTACATGTTTTTTTAAATAAATCTAAACAATAAAGTCAAGTAACATTTCTGTGATATGTTTCTTATTATTTATATTAAGAGCAAAGTCACACCAGCTTTTTTATTGTCATTACACTGTCACAAGTAGAGAGCAACGAAATTAACTCTCTGCATTTAACCCATCCCCTTGGAGAGCAGTAGGCTGCCATAGTGCGGCGCCCAGGGAGCAGTGTGGGGTTAAGGGTCTTTTACTCAGGGACCCAGAGGGGAAGTCTGTGGGAATGGGACTCAGAACCTCAGAATTTAAAGCTCTGTGCCCTAACCATTAGGCTGCCACTCCCCCATATTTCCCCCCCACACACCTTTTTTTTAGGCTTTGCAGTGATACAGGTCACCAGTTAAACAGGATATTTCTGTAATGTTAAAACAATCGCAGTGTAATGTAGTATATAACAGAAGCAAAGTTTTCAAGCTCTAAAATTTTTCTGTAAATTTATGTCAGGGGACAATTAACTATAAATTTTGGTAAATTTTTGAACATGTTAAGGCCTTCAAAAAGCAAATTAATTTGTCAGGAGAAAAATTTAAAAAAGGAAAACAAGAGAAATAGGAAAAAACACTAAAATTACAATAGGCCTTCGCAAATTAGCAGGATTAAAGATGTTAGCATTGGTAACAGCCTTCTCAGTGTGTTTTCTAAGAAAGTTGACCTAACCATAATATTTCCCTCAGGAACAACTTCCACACTGAAGGGTGTTGTTTTTAACCTCACCTTATAGAGCTTAAGGTTTTGTCATATCAGCCGATTTTCTGGTGCATTACTAGCTTTAAAATTTGAATTAAACCATTGAAAGTGGGATTAAATAATCACTTTGGAGATGCTTTATGAATGACCCACAGGTTCATAATACAAACTTATTTCGAGGAGTTCCTTTTTGCTTGTTACAGCTGTGCTTCGTTGTAAACTCCTCCCCTCTCCATTAATTAAAAATGCTCTCGAATGCTGTCTAAGAGTATTTGAACATGTGCTTAGATATGACTCATTCACTCCAAAAAACATACTTTTTCAAGCTTCTAAACATCTGAATACCAGTCAGTTTTTTAAATAATCCTAGTTTTGTCCTTGAAGTGAATTGGTTTTAATATAAAAAGCTTCTTTTTAAAGGTTTGCAAGATGTTTATATATTTTAACTGTAAAATATACTCCAAATTATTGTATATTCACCTGCTCTTTGATGAATGTTGAACCGATGTTTGTCACTCTGACACTGTGTAGTACTGGAACATGCATTGCTGAAAATCAAGACCCTTTTTCTATTTGAGTTCTTTGCAGAAAAAAAGTGTTTTGTTTTTATTTTCTTGTCGTTTTTTGTTATTTTGTTTTTTTGTTAAGCACAGAATTAAATAAGCTTTAGACTTTTCCCTCTCATTTATATACAACAAGCTATTAATACGCTCCTGAGAGAGTGTACTTAAGTTTTCCATTAGCCTTCCTTCGTCATGTTTAATTGTTTTAAAATCAAATATCTGCTCTCTTATGCTGCATTTATTCACAATTTAATATTTTTTCCCTCTCCTTTGTTGTCAAAATGCGATACTTAAACACATTAGACCAGAGAACAGGGAGACAAAGAATGAGCAGGAAGGAAGGAGACCTGAGATTTTTCATTTCAGTATCTCCTCTGTAGCCCAACTTTGATTTTGCAGAATGCTCCAAAAAAAATTGAACACTTTCACCAATAAACAAGCTGGTGTTTTTTTATTTTGCATGTCTGCATCATGACGAATGTCTGTCTTTTTGCTGTTTTTTTTTTTTTGCTGGATCTTTCTCCCCTATGCACTGCTGTTCCCTCTCATCATGTGCTTACTGTGTCTCTCTGTAAATCGATAGTGGTACTTATAGTGTGGCTGAGTGCCAAGCTACCAAACAGCTTTACTACTGTCTCACAATAATTGGTGTGTTGAAACACTGTCATGCTCCCTGAGCACAAACTCAACGGTCTGACGGGTTCAACGGTTGACTGGCTGCCTGGTTTAGGGCTAAGTGAGTGGTTGGTGTTTTTATTGGGCTGCATAATGAACTGAAAGACTAGGTGTCCTTATGTGTACCAGCAAGCTGCCTGATTTTCAAATAACTGAAGGAGGGAATTTATAGGGAATGGTTGTCAGTCTAAATATTTCAAGAAAACAGCTCATGCACACAGAATGGAAAAAAAAGACATCTCAAATAAAGTCATGTGGACAGCGTGTTGTGGGAAATGATACCCAATGAGGCATAGAAGCTGTCAAAATGTTATCTTGGGTATTATTTTGTTTAGGTTGGTGGTCTATTGGGATTTTTTTTTACTAGTTTCTCTTACTAACTGGATCGCTGTCTGTATAGCTTTTGAATTACAGACTTTCAACATATATTTACTAGTGTTGCGCCGATGCCATTTTTGGCCCGGAGACAGATACCCAATACCTGGCTGTGCAGTTCTGACCGATACCAATACCATGCCGATACTATCGTATGGAAAAAGGAAAAGGAGAAAGACTAATACAAAGTGAATCCAGTAGAACTTTTTTATTGCCTACCTGGAATGGGTGGCAATAGTTTAATAAACGTTTGGCTCGCAAAATGGTATTGATGCCTTATTTGTTGGTACTCGCCTTTACCAATACCACAATTTTAGTGCTGTATTGGGACCCTTCCCGATACTGGTATTGGTGCAACACTAGTATTTACTGCTTTAAATCTATTATATTTTACATTTCTAGAGGTTAACTAAGAATGCTTCTCAAATGTTATTGATTATTTGTCAAATGCCGTCTGTATTATGCTTGTCTTGTGACTAGTTAATAGTAAAATACAATCATAGTCAATAAATTTGGGTATTGTTGAAAGTGTTATTTTAGTAACTCAATTAAGTCAAAACACATGGATCAGTTACACACAAACTGTTTTTCAGAGCCTTTATTTATGTTATATGTGATTGTAAATGGCCTGTACTTACATAGTGCTTTTTCAGTCAGGAGACTTGAGCAAAGTGCTTTGCACCGCATTCAGTCATTCTGTAATCATACTGACAGCTAAAAAAACACCTAAATCTTACATCACACTAAAGAGCTTTAGAAAACACACAAAGATATAAAACAAACTTTAATAGCTGTTTAAATGTTACTATTTTAAGACATTTTAGATTTTCTAATTTATTGAACATGAAATACATTTTTTAGCTGTTAGTTTTTATTTTACAATCTTTTTCTTATTTTTTTTTCTTATATCTCATTCAGATTTTTGAAGAATTAAATTTTCAGTTTTCCCTTATCATTTCATGAAAAGGAGCAGAAATGAACATCTGATATTTAACACTCTTTTCTTTTGCCGCTACTTAATGAAAATGCTGCGTTTTGACTTAAATTACTGACAAAAGATAGTTTCCAATCAGTTTCCGATTTATGGAGCTGTGTCTGTATACCCTGATTAGTTTTCTGCAGTAAATGAATACCTTATCTTTATTCTGTAATTATCATTGGTGCTGAGACAGAACAGGAGTCCTTTTGGGCCATTGCTACCAGGCTGTAGCTTACAGAGTATGCCTTTGATCGCATCTTTCTTCAGCTGTGTATTGCCTGCTGATCGACCGGGAAGGTTGATAATTAAATTGGGGAAAAAGGAAAAATATCTAAGTAAAGGCTTTCTACTTACTCAATGGTGTAGTAATTGCAGTGATTAACCCAAGTGGAGGATCTAATCAGTGAAATCACCTACTGTTGTTTGTGTTGTTGAAGAAAATCTATTTGCAGTCAAGCTTTCTGTGCACACGTCTAAATAAGTTGGACAAGGAAAGATTTTAAGTTCTCACAAAGTGATCACCGAATGGTTCTACATTTTTAAGACAGTAAGTAATACAAGCCACAGTCATTTAAATAAGTGAGTCAGTTTGATTTAAGTAACACATATAAATACTGTCTAATAGGTTTAGGTTCTAAAATCGA